AATTTATAGAATATCATGAAACGAAAAATAACGCAAAACGAAATATTTTAAAATCTATTTATTTAAAAGGGCTATTGGTTTCGTAGAAACATTTATATCATGCAAACAATTTAAGAATTTATTATATTATATTCCGTATCCGGGCCATTACCTACCCACATTAGTTATTATTTTTTAATTTAATAGATATTAACACTATTTTAAAATTTAAATAACTATTTTAAAAAACGCAATACTTGGATAACGTTTGTGGTAATGTGAAAATAGGATATGCATGCAATATAATATATACATATTTATCTCTTTTTTCTTATATATTATTTAATATTTATATATATTGTGTACATACTCTAAATTACCATCTTATCATATATACATATGTGTACATGCATAAACACATTTATATATTATATATAAGGATTTAATTAGATAATAAATTAACTTACCCTAATTCGACTGTAGACCTTGCTATATTATATTCGTCGAGCGAAAGACGAGGAAATAGGTTTAAGATTAATTTGCTTACAATTATTTTTATTAATCAAGAACACAATTAATATAATAGAGATACTTTAAAAATTCATTTATTATTTAAGATACACAAATATTGAACTGAACATATATTATATACCTCACTACGTATGACCGTCACTAAGGGCAGACGCAGGGAGAATGCTGTTGTGGGAGTCGGGCCGATGGTCAATGGGTATCGTCCGAGCCGATGAAACAGTTTATTTTACAAAGAAAAATGGTACAATAGTATATGGCCATGTATTATAATGTGAACATCGTGTGGCTGTATATACATTATACAATATTATAATATAGGTATATGTTAGGATTATGATGATGACACTCTTTTCACAACAGTATGTCAGTATATTTATGAAGAGTGGCTATCATTACACGTTTTAATTGTAAATAACATGAAACGGAATTTTTCTTCAAATTCAAGCCTTGATATTACAGTATATATGGTTTGTTAGTACAGGTACTTCTGTATACATACATTGAAACGATACGCTGGGAATACTCTCATCGAGTTTATAATACAAAACTTAAAAGTTTTTCGGTATCATGCTTTATTTATATTTTATAAATAAAGTTTAATATTCTATTAATATATTTACAATCATTTTATTATGGGCAGTGAAGCTTCGACATTGCGTCGGTCAGACTAGATTAAGCGGGCCGACACAGGCGGTGGGGCTTAAGTGCTGCCAGGCGTAAGCTCCTAATTTACAATATGTGTGAATGTTATTTCCCTTACAATTGGTTGGACGGTGGCAACCACCACCAGCGCTTGACTTGTATAAGAGGCTACTGTAATCTGTGCTCGGAAACGGCAATACTTGAGTAAATGGCCGAAAGGGGGGGGGGTGAATCGTAAAGTTGTAGGTCCTAAAAAGGGCCTTTTTCGTATGCCATCGACGGCGTCTGTAGGCACGTCTATCACCGATGCCAAGGTGTCGTTACAGTGTGATGTTCTGCTCACCGTCTGTCGACGATACTATGGCGGCGACTGTCGTCCATAACAATGATTATAGATACAATAATTTGTAGGTACATTACACTATAGTATTATTGATATTAGTTAAAAACTCACAGGGTCCTTTGCCACCCCCCCCCCCCTGCGTGGGCGTCCTGGGTACATTTTTTTATATCTATAAATGTTAGTTCAATAGTTGAATGAGTGCTGTAGTCTACCACCATTTGAGTATGACCACGCTGAAGACATTTTTGCACAATTTTTTTACACCAGATGAAATCGTTGAATTTACCACACCGTAAGTTTATGTTGAATTGCGACTATTTGGTACTATTGGTACGTGCACCCATCACTAAATAGTATAATATTAACTTGGTTTTCTTTTTATACATCAATAACAAATTTTGTCATGTTATATAATCTTTTCTGGTTGTTTTTCTTCAAAACCGACGCTGTGCATAAAATGTCATTATAAAATATCGGTAAATAGGTAGGTACCTTACCTATTATTGTTGCTTAAATGATATTAAAATTAACGACTAACATGTTGGAATAATATATGTTAAGTTGTTCATATACAATTATCATGATAATATCCATTTTTTATAAAGTAGTATATTTTTGTATCTTACCTCGATTGTACTTATATACTGTATAGGTATACATCAACACATATAATATTTACACAATATGTGTAATTATAATAGCACGTATGACTTACCTAGGTATTATAATTATATTAATAGCAAATTATACATTACAAAAGTACCTAATTATATAGTTTATTTATAATAACATAATTGTGTCATTGTGATATCAAATCATCGATGAATATATAATGACGCTATGACGCTTACACATCACTAACAATTAATATTCCCCAAGGAACAGTCTTATAGGTTGTAGGTACATCTTTTACGCATCACTATTGTTATTTTGACCTTTTCTGTGAGTCAGTTTGCATTGTTTGATTTTTGGATTATACATTTTGTTCAATAGCGTCGTCCATTATAAACAGCCATTAACATAATAATAATATAATAGAGTAAGCTCTAGTTATGTTAAAATTCAAGGGAAACAAATACAAGTTCAAAATATCGAGTGTTATTGTAATGGTAATTATTTCATGGCACATTCAATTGATTTCTAGATTTTCACGAACAATTTGAGTTATTGACGTTAGACATAATAAAACGGTATACAGCATATAATATAATATATATTATGTATAATGTATATAATATCATTGATTATAAATACTAGTATTCATAATCAATTTTAATATGTATTATATATATTTGAGCATGTAAGTCACTAACATATAAGCAAAATATGTCGAGGCGTCGTAATATATTATTATTATTTTACGCCACTGACTGCAGTATGTGCGAGGAGAGTTCCTTGTTACCGTAGAGTTTGATAGAAGTGTGTGTGTGTGTGTGTGTGTGTGTGTGTGTGTGTGTGTGTGTGTGTGTGTGTGTGTGTGATTGTTGTATGTGAAGCGATGGACCGCTAGTTAGCATATATTCAAACATACTCAGTGACATTATAATCAGGGCCTTGAAAATACCGTAAATATTTTTTTCCGATTTCGATTTCGGTTTCGGTTATCGGTATTTATTTTTTCAGATTTTGTTTTTAGTTTCGGTATTGATTTCTGTTTTTAACGGTTTAAACCGGTATTCAAAATCGGTATCCAATATCGGTTTCAAGTTCTGCATTATTATTATATTATTATAATTACCAGAGCTTCAAACCGAAAATATATTTCCAGATTTCGATTTCGGTTTCGAATATCGGTCTTTATTTTTGGTTTTGAATTTTTCCGATTTCGGTTATGATTACCGGTATTGGTTTTTTTCGATTTTGTTTTCGGTTTTGGTTTTAAACGGTATTCAAAATCGGTATCAAATATCAGTTTCAAGCCCTGATTATAATATGTTTGTTTGAATGAAATATTCAAATATTGAATTAAAATTTTTCTTTGCAATCGTAATATTATTGGTGAATAAAGTCTAAAAGGGACGAACCCAAAACAATAAAGTTTGTCATCGTACCTCACTTTATATTAACAGTGCTTTCCAAATTTGGTTTTGGATATTAATAAATATTATAGTAGGTAATATTATCTTAAATTGCACACTGTACGACGTTGTTGGTCTTAGCGCGTGTTACGAGTGATACGTGCGATACGACGATAAAATGTGTTTACACATGAAAGTAAAAATTAAATGCGTATATTAAAGAAAAATAAAAGACAGTTAGATATAATAAAGTAGATAGATCATGTGCGAGTAAAATGATATACTTTGTTGGCATTGAGTTCGATTGAATCATAGATACAATTTAATACAATACCAAATACCTATATGTAGAATAATATAATATGTTAGTGTTAAAAACTTGAAGTGGGTATGAAATGGTATCATGTTTCATGTAATGTACTAACCAAATTAAGGCGTTTAACATATAATTTATAATTTATTTTAGTAGATATTTTATCAATTCTCCGTAATAGGTTGGATAATTTGTGTACAATATAATATTTGTCTAATACTTTATTACGACTCCGCTGTTACAATAGTATTACGTATCACGAGTTATTCACATATTTTATTCATATTATAATAACAATAATATACCTACGTATAACGTATTCCACGTTTCAAATGTAGGCAGTTAATGAATTAACTTAAATTTTAAAATATTGTAAACAATCTTGTCGACCCATTATATATACATTCTGTAGGTATGTATTTTAATTTCACAGCGATGAATGCCACCCCGTGCCTCACACTCGTAGGGCCATGTGGGGCCCCCAAAAGGGCCGGGAATTTTTTTTTTTGGTTTGGAGGAAATGTTTTAAAAATATATTGCTGGTATTCCATACAAAATAGTAAAATAGTATTATAATATTTTTACATGGCAAGATCACTAACAAGAAATATAGCCTGTTGAATGCTGTACCTATATTGAACGCATTGGTGTCTTGACAATAATATTATTGATGATAAAGGTAACATAATATAAATTACACAAACAAAACATAAAACCAATATTGGTTGATAGTTGTTCGACAATGTCGACACGTGGGAATTCCGAATTATTGGCATTTGTAAATTTAGCTCATAACGTCATAACTTCTCATAGTTCACCACTGCTATACAGTAGTATTTGTTAGATATCGTTCATCAGTTGTGTTTGTGTTACGGACACAGTGTTTTATGATTAATTGTTGTCTGGAGGGGCTCTCAAATTATTTTCACCCTTAGTTGTACCATTCCCAAGTTATCCATTTTCCGTTTGGCCTAAATTAAAATAAAAAAAAAACCGACCTCCGTAATGTGTAATCACTCCGGTAATCACCTTGAGTAATCACCTTGGTGACCTGGCCAGGTATGATATGATACTATTATTGTTACAAACAAACTTTAATTTTACTCGTTTTGTGTGTTTTTGACGATTTTTTTTTTATAACAATTTTCGTTTCTACCGTTTTGTTTTCCTCGACATGGATGGTGAAAGAACCAATGATCATACCGTGGTAGGGGAAGATGCGACAACTGAATTTTCGACGATCCCATTAATGATGGAGTTCAGAGAACCTGAAACTGTGAATCCTGTAACCGTGAACCAAGAACCGGTCGAAATGGCACCGGAACCGCAGCAGGAGCCGATCGCGGAGTTGACAGTGCCACCAGCGGTGAATACGGCTGTCACCACAGTTACCGCCATTCGGCTGGGTTCGGGAGCGGATGATACTCCGACCACGACGGAAAGTGCAGACGTCGAAGACGAGAACACGGACAGGCGAGCCCGTCGCACTCGAAGTCGTGGCCGACGGAGCCGACGCAGCCGACGTGGCCGACGCAGCCGGAGCCGAAGCCGTCGTAGTCGTCGCAGCCGGAGCAGAAGCGACGACGGAGACTTCTACGTGCAAATCGCCGACGATGAGATCTCCGCCGAGCTGGCGGCTGGTAGCAGTCGCGGCGGTGGCCAGAAGACAGCCCGTGGAGGTCGAAGGGCTAAGAAGCTAGCAATCACAGGTCGCCGTGGTGGAAAGGCCACCCATGAGAGTCGCGTCAGTGGGAAAGCTAGCCGTGGCACTCGAGGTGGCCGGAAGTCAGCCAGGGGCAGTCGTAGAGGCCGAAAAACTACCGAATGTGTGACTGCCCGGACGATGTGGTACGAACGCTTGCGTCCGCTTAGCCTTAATCGGAACAAGAAATAGAAGGCAAAGCAAAAGGCTATATTATATTATTGTGTCATACCATAATCATTAATCATACAATAAATGACACTTGGTCTTACATAATATTCGTAATATTTTGTACGAAATAAAGAAGTGGGTTGAAAAATAGTTTTCCCCGAATATTCCTTCTTAGAACCGATGATGAGTACGAGCAATATTATGGAAATGAGTAAGTTATATAAGTAAGTCCATACAGATAAAGGACAATGATTTTTGAAGTCGAAAAATTAAAAAACAGTCTAATTTTATATTTTATTTTAGTATACACTATACCTATACAGTTTGTAGTTTTTGTTGAAATCGCAGGCAGTCTATATTGATTGATAGGTGTTTTTCATAATGGAAAACCAGCTTAAATGCTTAAGGTAGGTAAAGTAATAATAATATAAATTTATTAATTGTGTTAAATACTAAAATGTATTTAAAACGTCTTAAAGTATTATAAAAAGTATTTGTAAAATGCTATAATATTGGTAATAGAAGCATAAAATGTATTCAACATTTCTAAATACATTGCTAAACTATGTGTCCTACAGCAAATACATTTATTTTACGAATACTAAACATTTTCGAATAAAAACACGAATAGTACGTAGCCACGTAGGTATATATATTTTTAAACTATATTCATACATTTTCACTTAATTTTTTTTTAAGCTAAACATTTTTTAATAATACACACTTATGAGTTTTGCGATTGATCATGTAGTATAACAAGTTACACATTACCTAAAAACTACTAAGTATGCTTTATGGTTCAGATTTTAGTATTCGAATACAAGTCTTAAACCAGTGGTGCTACCCGAGTGTTTTTCAGTGTTTTTTTTTGATGCTCGTTTTGATTATTTTAGTGGGTATAAAATATAAAATTAATAATGTCACATTATTATTGACAGCGACATAAAATGTAAGTACTTATACTGAGTTATACCTAATTATATTATATTTTTAAACTATATTTATATATTATTGTTATTATATTATAGTACAATCAACCGGGCATAGGACCAGTCCGTTGTCAAATGTGTGAGTGTTGCGAACTATAATAATATATTAATATATTTTTATATTTTATACATAAGCGTGTCTACGGTAGCAGCCTAGGGTGCCTGAGCTGCCCCTGCAATTTTTGAAAGGTGTCGGTCAACCTAGTTTTAAATCAGAAGGGTCACAACATTTTTTTTTTGTGTATATCATTATAATTACCATTTACTTACAAAGATAACATGGTCAATAAAATTAGGTAGATAATATTTTTATTTAACATGTATTGTCAAATTGATTTCCATAGGCATGCGCAGTCCGTTGTGACCGATGATACTTGAAACAAATTATTTAAAACACTGTTATCTATAAAATTACATTAATCTACTTACCTGTCATAACCTACTGTTTAAATTTTAAGGTATAATAATATATATATTTTTATTCATAAGTAGGGCTAGGATTTACATGCATTTGCATATTATTTTTCTTAAGTCCAAATTGATAGGTTGTGATATTTGCCTATATTTGCCTTACCCTCGATTAAATAGAACCATTTTTTGTTTGCATATTTTATAGATTTAAGAGAATCTTCTTAATTTTGTTGATATAAAAAAAATCAAAAATCAAAATGCTTATAATACAGAATAAGGCAATACAACTATGTATATGATCTAAGTTTCCATCTATATAACCTGGTGGGCCCGCCTATGTTAATTTCCTGACTTCGGAAATCCACGGAAAAACCTACTATAAAGACTTGTGACAGACGACGACGGTACGGTACGCATATAGGTATTATTGATATTATTTTTGTATTATGTTGGTTTGTAGGTAGATGGTGTAACCCAAGTCTGTATAGATGAATAATATTTCTGAAGTTACTGTAGATTATTATTGTAAATAGATAATTTAGACTTTTTTTTAAAATTATATAAATATTTCATTGTGAAGGGGGAGGGGGTTAAAAAAATACTGCTTTGGGTGTATAGGGCCTTTTTCGGTTCACTTATAAGATAGCGACAATCATTAGCTAAACTGACCCTGCCGATGAAGTCTAGTCAGGCCTATATTTTTATAATATCCATAATATTACATCTATGTAAAACATTTTAAATGGTTTTTGTTATTATTATTTGTTCAGTGAACACTATACAGATATTTAGTCTATTCTATGTATAATGTTGGTAGTTTGTAGTCGGTACTGATATAGTCCAAGTGAGGTGATAAACAGTAGGTACAATTAGGAAAAAATATCTAACTAATTGTTTTCAAAATTCCAAAAATCAGATTTTTAATAGATGCTGATGTAGTTAAAAATCATTTCTCACAATATGTAAATAGGTATTTTGTATAAAATATATGGTAGACTTATGGTGACAGATAAAAAACACATAGGGAGGTAGTACAAAAATGAAAAAAAACGAATACCTACTAAACATTTTGAAAACATGTATAATACGTATATATCTTCATATTATTTAATTACTAAGTAGATAGTAGTATCCAAATGGTAAATACTAAATACTCCATTATATAATAATAATATACTTTACAGGACTAATAATGTTCATAAGCACAACTATTCGAGTATAAGCATAACTGTGGTATGGGGAACAAAATATGCATTAACCAAAAATGTTATGGTAATATAATAATTAATATTCAGGTAACTATTTTTATTCAACATTACGATAATAGGTACACATACATTTATTAGTCTTATGATTTATTTTTATCTGGAAGGGGCTCTCAAATTATTTCCACCTCAGGCCCAACAACCGATTAAATAATTGACAAAATTCTACAAAATCACAAAAATTTTCAATTTATTCTGAGTTGGAAATTAAAAAAATTATTGTCTTTATGTATATCTAAGATTTGAAAATGTAAAACAAAATTCCACATTAAAAAAAAAAAAAAAATGTTCTCGAAATTCAAATAAATTTTCCATGAAAGATTGAAGTTACATTGGATATTATTATATTATTCATGTATTTAACCAATATTTTGACATTTTATGTCTTTGCTTTGGCACATAGAATCGAAAAACGTTACTTTACGTTACAAAAAAACGTTACATTATTTATTTATTTGTTTATAAATGGTTGCCATGGGTTTTAAAACTATTATAATAATAATTATTGGTTGCCTTGAAATCAGTGTATTAGAAATAGAAAAACTTTAAGTTACATCAATAAATATGATAAGATTCCTATGTAACCATGGTTAAAATGGTAACTAAGATTCCTATGTAACCAAGGCTACATATAGTTTCAATGTGGTGTTACTACAAAGACATAAAATGTGGTACTTCATAGCAGACTCATTTGGAATATGTTAATTCTTTTTACATCCAGATTTCCTACTTTTTTTTAAACATTTTAAAAATGATTATTACTCAACGGTTTTTCATAAAATCGTACGGTAGCTGGTATTATATGTAGGCATGAAGGAAAAATTATTTTGGGGGATACGAGTATCGGCCACGTTGTTGTCTCATTTTGTGGAAAAATTAATCCTAGGTGGAAATGGGAGGCCCATATTATAATAATATAGTTTTGGTGGTAAAATGTATCGCCCCAGCCAACAAAATATGACAATGCGCCGTCTGTACATTGCACCTTTATATAATATTATATACATTCATTTTGTGGTAAAAGCTTTCTAGAACTCTGGGGGAGGTTATTCACACCCACACAAAGTTTTGCAGAAAAACACACTCTCTTACACACATACACACTCACTCATTAAACTTTTGAAGACAAGTGCGTTTTATTCTTACAATCACACTGTCAATGGAAATATACAACCAAAACAATTAGGGTACATGTGTGTTAGCCCCTATTTGTATAATCATTAACCATATAAATTGTACATCTCTTCAAATGCTAGACAACGGTCTACTATACAGGTGTTCCCAAAGTGTGCGCAGCGGAATGTCGCGGGATAACATCCGGTCTCAAAATAAATTGGTAACCCAAGAGGTGGCGTCGCAGAGGTGGCTTTCTTGTGATTTGTCATACTTTGACTTGGGGAAGGGTGCCATGGGAAAACAACCAGCTTAGTTTGAAAAGGGTCACTGCACGTCGTCATCGTAGAGTCGAAAAACCTTGGGAACCACTCGTCTACGACCCATGTGTAATGATTCGTATTCCGCGGGTAAGTTATTAGATTTTGAGCGGAGCGATGAATGTATTGATTTAACAATTATGTGTAAGTGTACTATTTGTGTGCGTCTGAAGGAACAATCTACTTCCGGTCTGAATTTATTGAAGAATAAAATTCTTTTAATTTTCAGCTTCAATATATTTTCTGATAGGAAAGATAATCTCTTTGGTATGTAATAAAAAGAAAAAATATGGTATATTATGTTAACACTACACTACCACTGTGAATTGTGATAATGCCTCATGGCCGATGCGATCTACTTTTCAGACATTACAGATAAAATTACTGAAAACTGGAATTGTATTTCGAACATTCAGTACATATGGGTTCGTTGTCTAGTCATAAGGGTTTGTTAACTTTGCAATTGCATAAATAAAAATGTAATATTTTAATATTGGAAGTAATTTTGTACTTTCAATATCTAATATTCAGTGAAAAAGTGAAACATTAAAAGTTATTGATAGTTTTAAATTCGGATACCATAAAAATTATTTGAACGGACATATTATATTATATGGAAGTATACGAATAAGAATTTCAGAGCTTTTTACGAATAGATAATAAAGTACAGGTTAGTGTCAGCAATTACGAAAAACTCAAGGAAAAAATTGAATCTCCAAGAATTTAGCAATAGTTTAAGACGGAATGAAATTAATGACGTATCAGAGCTACCTAGTAAATTTTTTCATAGATAATTAAAATAATAATACGCGTCGACACGCAACTACAGGTATTACGTAGGACGTAGGTGCCTATATAAAAACAATATGCATTATGCAAGTAGAGCCAATTACCCCTATTACTAATAACCCTTAACTATTGAT